CTGTCTCACAGGGCAGCTGTGGCCCCACGGGAGGGGCAGGAGACAGCAGGCGTTGGAGGCAGCACGGGAGCAGGTGTCTTCCGACTCTGTCCACACGATCTCTGAAAATCCAAGATCCCATCACCACCGCTTGTTTAAAAGGTTTCTTAAGTATATCTCTATTGATTTCCAAGAGGAAGGCAGACAGAGAAACACCAATGATGAGAGCGAATCGCTGATTGGCTGCCTCCTGCACGTCAGACCGAGCCCGCAGCCTGGGCATGTGCCCTTGACCGGAATCAAACCCGGGACCTTTCAGTCCACAGGCTGGTGCTCTATCCACTGAGCCAAACCGGCTAGGGCTGACAACCAACTTATTCCTGTAATTGTCTTTATTAGACATTTAAATACACATATAACTCATATACGTTAGAATAAGCCAAATAATCCAAAGTTGCCTTAAAAATGTTAAATTTTTACTAGTCCCCACCCCACACCCCGTTGCTTAGACTCTGTGTTTTCAAGTCAGCACAAGCTTAGCAGTGGCGTCCGCACAGCTGTCCTCCGTGGCCCCTGCCCCCGTGGCCCCCAGGCCCGGCCCTCAGTGGCTATCAGCTGCTTCATCTGCGGTTTCACCCGCATTCGCACCAACAGCAGACACGTGTGGCTGCAGGATTGTATCTCAGGCGGCGGACACCGCCCTCGGTGACCCTGGGCCCCGAGCAACCTCCCCGGGGCGGGGGCCCGTCTGGGGCATTTCCTGAGGACCTCCCAACGTCCTCCCAGCCGTGTTCACCTTCCTCGCTCGGTGTAAGCATTCCGCAGAGATTTCTTGCTCTGTATGCAGCCAAGGAGGAGTTGTTGGGTCAGGGTCAAGGTCAGGGTGGGCCCCGCCAGCCGGTCTTGGCCACTCTGCCCAAGGGGAGGACGGGGAGGACGGGGAGGAGAACAAGCCTGAGTGCATGGGTCCTCAGTCCCCAGCCAGGCTCCCCTTCCCTCCGTGCAGACCAAAGCTTATGTGCCTTTATCCTTTTTGTTTCGTTTCGCCTGTGCTTCTAAAGGATGCTTTGTGACAACTATTTCTTTCTAAGGCTTGTTTTGAAGCCAGGTGCTTTTAAGGGTGTGGGAATCCTTCACAGGGAGGCCTCGCCGTCTTCAGCGGGAAGACAGCTGAGTCCCCATCATGGCGCACACAGCACGGCCGTTAGGAGCCGCGCCTGCCCTGGGCCTGCTGTCTCGGTGGTTCGTCCGGCGCGGTGTCTGCATTTGCTCCTCTCGTGACGGCCTCTCACCTGGCAGGCCACCCGCCAGGCAGCCTGCACACGCTCCGACTCACTCGCTCGCTCTGTTCTCCGCCAGGACAAGCCGGGGCAGCTGGGTCTACAGCTACTTCTGTCTCCTTCGAAGCCCCGAAGAATGTTGGGGGGAAGGGGCAGGCGCAAAGAGGGAGGTCGCAGGCCCAAGATCCTTATCTGACCCCCACGGATAGAAGCTCAGGGAATTTGAATTCCCTTGTCACCAACTGGGTGGCAGGTTTTGACCTGCCCTGAATCTTGGAGGGTGGTTTTTATACTTGTGCTAGTGGTCCGGTGCACGAAATGTGTGCACATTAGAAGGGAATTAATTAGAAGAAATATTTTAATATTGATACATGCCCTTTCTCTATAATAGAAGTGTCAGATGAAAGAAAATTAGTAAAACGTATATAAAATCTCCCTTCCTGTCAGGGTCTGGGGCGCACTGTGGGACCGAGAATCAAGTCCCCGCCCCCCCTGTCCCCCCACATCCCCTCCACCCCCATCCCCGTACCCCCAGCACACACTTAGAAAACGCAGGAGACTCAGACCCGGCTGGCCCCACCCCCGTCAAACCCCTCTGGGCCCGCAGCTTCGGACGGGGAAGCAGGCAGGCAGTGCCCTGTCCCTCGCTGGGGATGCAGGCCGGCAGCGTGACATTAGTGCCCTCGGCCTGGTCGTGCCTGGGACACCGTGAATGACAAAGCAGCGTATTACCTTTTAAAGGAACAGACACTCACCCAGCCGGGTGACCCAGAGCTGTGAGTGGTTGGTCTGGGGTTCCCGCAGTCCGGTATGGGGGCGTTTTAAACCGGCTCACGTCTCAGTTCCCCAGCGCCCAGCGCAGGCGTGGGAAAGGGAGGTGGACTGAGAACTCTGGGCGTCTGTCTGATACTATTGTTGCATCAGCCCCGGGAGCAGAGGGTGGGGCCCCCAGAGCCGATTGAGGGCAGCGACCAGGGTGTGACCTTGCCGCCCCAGGGCTGGGCTGCTACTGGGCCTTCCCTGGGGACAGATAAACAGCCGGGACTTGAGTGGCAGGCTGGCCGGGCTCCAGGAACGGGCGTGGAGCCTCAGTGTGGTTACGGGTCCCCTGCTTACCTCCTGGCAGGGGCTCCTTGGTGGCTAAGCCTGTTTTTAACGTGGGGGGTGGGAGGACAAAAATAAAGAAATATGCTGCCAGCTACTGAGCAAGTGGCCACGGAGCAGGAGGGGCTGGTGGCGCCCACGATCTCATCCCACAGGCTCCATTTCACCCCAAAGAGACTCCCAACGACTGTTAGCTGTGGAGATAGGCTCCTCGCTGATCCCCAGCCCCTGGACACTTGCTTGTTGGATCTGCTTTCTAATTGGTCCTCGGACCCAGTGTACTGAGTGAGACCGCAGAGCCTGTGGGAGGGTCCCCGCCCGCCGCCCAGGCCCAGGGCCTGCTGCTCCTGCTTGGCCCGAGCTGTGCCAGGTTCTTAAAGAGCCTGAGCACCCAAGACAGCTGGGCCGGAGGAGTCAGAGGGCGCCCGCCTGCTCCGGCCCTGTTACAGCCCGGCCCGCCGGTGGGGAGAGCAGCCCGCACCTGTGCTCAGCGATGATGCTTCTCTGCTGGGTCCCTCGCCGGCTGGGGAGTGAGCCTTGTGGCCTGTGGTGCCGGAGACCCTGGAAAGGGGGGGGGGGTCCCTGTGCCCCGGGGCCTGCTGGGAGCCTTTGTATTTCCGTGGCTCAGCTCACCCTCCCACCGTTACCCTGCCCTCAGCTGTGCCTGCCGCCGGAGAGGGCGGTGCCAATTAAGTCCCTGCAGGAGCATTTCATAAGTTTTTGCTTCCAAAGAAATGCTGCGGAGGGGATCGAAGCTTCAGGAATCAGGTTACTGCCGCCAGGTCCAGACCCAGACTCCCTGTGTGCGTGGCCACCTGGGACGGCCCACAGCTGAGGGCCGCAGGAGAGCCGGCCACGGGCTCTCCCCTCCCTCCCACCCCCTCCACAGAGCCAGGCACACAGTCAGTGCTTTTTAAAAACTTTTTATAAATAACAGGACACGTTGATTTGTGTAAGCTGATGCCGGTCTTCCCTTGGATTGCATAATGGAGGTTCTGCTATCAGGTTTTCGGGAAGCCTCTGGATTAAAATCCAGAGGGAGCAGAGGAGGCTGTGCCTCACACAGGGACTGCAGGCGAGGTGTGCGCTCCATCCCGCTCCCGCTCAGACGTGACGCTGTCGCCCCTCACCTGAGACACCTCACAAACTTGAACGAATTAACCCCTCACCCTCTGCGGGCCGCCTGCCCGGGCTCTGGCTTCACCACAGCGTCCGGGAGAGCCACGCACCTCGGTCAGAGCTCGGACACAAGCTCTGGGCAGGCCGAGTGCCCCCGGGGCACACGGATCCTATCCTCTGTGATGGCCATCCCCCTCCCCACTGTGCAAAGCAGAACCGTCCACTATATCGTCACCCGCCCAGGCCTTCCGCCAGTGACCAGGTGAGGGCTCCTTCTTCTGCCCAGCCCCGCCCCTCCCCAGCCCTGCCCGGCCCCTCCCCAGCCCAGCCCGGCCGGGTGTGAGGGCTCCGGTGTGGGAAGTCTGGGCAGCTCGCGGATTCGTGTTGCGTTAATTATTTATGGGAACAGACGTTGTGCTTCTGCCTGGCTTTTAAAAAAAAAATACCACACAGCCCTAACTGGTGTGGCTGTCGGCCTGCGGACTGAAGGGTCCTGGGTTCGAATCTGGTCAAGGGCATGTACCATGGTTGCGGGCACATCCCCAGTGGGGGGTGTGCAGGAGGCCGCTGGTCGATGTTTCTCTCTCATCGATGTTTCTAACTCTATCCCTCTTCCCTCCTCTCTGTAAAAAATCAGTAAAATATATGTTTTTAAAAGCAGGCCACAGAATTGTTGCCATAAATGTCTGGGTGCTTCTTCAGTCTCTTTGCTGGGAAATTAGCCATAACCACCAGGGGCCGTGAGCACCTGCCTTTCCGTCAGCCTGCGTGCCGGCCTCCCTCTGTTCCTGCCCCTCTGTGGCTGGGTGCCGGGGGCACCTCTTTCCTGTGGGTACTGTCCAGCGACGAGCTCAGAGCTGGGGCACGGGCAGGTAACAGGATGGTCTGGGCTGGCGCATGGGTGAGCCAGAAGTGAGGGTCAGAGCCTCCCAGAGCGAGAGCCACGTGCTCCCTCCTCATCCTCGGTGGTACACGGCTTTCCCTCGGAGGCTCCACGTCCCCAGCCCTCCTGCCTGGACGCTGCCCTCGCGATGGCTGGGGAGACGGCACCGAGCCCGGTGAGGAGGCGGGCCTTTCTGTCCGTTCTCCTGCCGCGGCGCCCAAGGGCTGTGTTGTCCTCCACAGCAGCTGACCCCTGACCCCGGCCCCGGCCCCTGGCGGGCAGCGTGGCAGTTCCTGGGAACCGCCTGGCAAAAGGCATCATGTGGTCGCAAGTGGTGCCGGCGCCACGGGCCTGGGGCTGCTCCCAGGTGCTCCCCGAGCCTGCACCGCCCCCTGCAGCTCTGCCCGGGGTCGCACACGCACCGGACAGGTCCGCGGGCTGTGCTCGGCTCTGGCGGTGAGGACAGGTCATCCCGCTGCAGGTCAGCGGCTCGTTGCTGTTTGCAGCCCGGAGAGTAAGGCTCTTTTCTCCTTGTTGCAGGTCCAGAGCGGCGTCATGCCCGCAGCCTCCTGCCCGTCCCCCTAAGCCTTAGAGGACCGCTGGCCTTGAATCAGAGTTGCAGAGTCCGCTAAAGAATGGCCCTTGTGGATAAGCACAAAGTCAAGCGCCAGCGATTGGACAGGATTTGCGAAGGTAAGAGCCAGCGTGCTGGGTGGTTTCAGCCGAAGGCCGCGGTGCTGCCTCCATCGGGACCGTCACCGGGCTCACCTCTCGTCGGGAGCTGGTTCCCTGGCCAGACGGTGCGCACAGCCACAGCCCAGCGGGGACCTCGGCACCTCCAGCGTGGCCTCGTGGTCAGCAGGCCTGACCTTTGCACAGAGCTCGAGGCCTGGCCTCCGGGCCAGGAGGAAGCCGCGGGGGAAGGGTTTTTCCACTCGCCTGGGTCATTTGCATATGAAAGACCTGGATATTAGAGCCATCTCCTTACTTCCTGAGGTTTCCGGTTCGCCCTGTTTCGAATTAAGACGTTTGCAAGGATGAATGACACGTGGATCCCAGAGGCCGGGCTGCCCTGGTGTGCGCGCCCCTGCTCTGAGGATGTGCGAGTGCCTCCGCCCTGAGAGGAAAACAAACCCGATCAACATCAACGGGAATGGCCCGGCACTGACAGGCTGAGGCGCAGCGCCCTCTCCTGGGGGGCGGGGAACGCAGGCCTGGCCGCGCCCCAGGTACCAGGCCGGCTCAGCCAGTGCTCCCACCGGCTCGGCCCCTGACTCGGACAGGAGTGCGTGCCCCCCGGTTGTCCATGCAGATGTGTTCTCTGAGTAGACGTGGCTCCAGCCGGAGTGGGGCAGGGGGGGGTTGGAGGCATCCAGAGCCGCGTTCTACCGAGTGGCAGCGCACCGTAGCTTCTGAATTGTGGTCCGAACATAAGCTGAATGAGTACCAGCTGCTGCAGAGCCTCGGGCTCCTGAGGGGTGAGCGGCGGGGTCTGCCCAGGTGCAGGGCCTTCGCCCGGGTGCCAGGTTCGGGGTTACAGTGCAGAGGCCCCTGCTCCTGGCGTGGCCTCCATCCCCGCAGCTGGAACAGGCCTGTGAGCGGCTGGCAGGCCTGGCGGGGATTGCTGCAAGCAGCCCCGTCTGCACGTGTCCTTGATCTCGGCTTGATGGCGGTGCCTGATACCCAGCCATCGAGATGGCGAGCAGGGCCTGCGGCGGCTGCTCAGGACCCGAGGCCTTGGTTTCCCTCTGGGTGTTCGCTGGCGTGACGGGCGGGCTCGCCATCAGAGTTGGCAAGTCGCCCGACCACCAAAGGGTCTCGGGTTCGATTCCCAGACAAAGGCAGGAACCTAAGCTACAGGTTTGGTCCCCATTCTGGGCGCCTGTGGGAAGCAACCAATTGATGGATATCTACCTCCCCCCCTTTCCCCTACCCCCTCTTTCTCTCATTCTCTCCTCCCTTCCACTCTCTCTGAAAACTAGTTGGAAAAATATCCTCAGGTGAGGATTAAAAATAAAGAATCGGTGTTGAAGCTGGCTGTCTATAGGTAGTCCACAGTCATTTGTAATAAATATCTACAAATAGTTCTAAAATGTGGATATTTAAAATGGGACTCATAATGTTGCTATACATTATAATTATATGTTTGGATCAGACAATTACCCACATTTCCAGTAATTACGTGATCAGTGCTGATTACCTTAGCTGTGTAAATACACAAGTCAGCGAGACAATGTCGATGACGCTGGAACCGAGCCCTGTGTTGCGATGGAGGGCGGCAAAGGAAGGCAGCCAAGCAGAAGCTTCGTGGAAGTCTGCAAGGAGGGTCATGCGTGCCTTCCTCCCGGCCACTGGCCACCGGCCACCGTTCTGGGTTAAGGTCAGTTTGGAGGCGCAGGCCTCGCCTTCTGCAGGAGAGAACCAGTTGAATGTTTTACTAGTTCTGTTGCCTAGTGTCTGTGACTTAGTGCAGGCTTCAGCTTCTCTCCGCTCCTGTCCATGCGCTGTTGGGCTCCGACTGCGCTCGGCAGGGCTATTTAAACTCGCCGATTCTAAGAGCAGCGTGTCCACTCCGCCCTCGTCCACACTGCCCGTGTCCACTCCCCCGCGTCCACTCCGAGGGCGGGGAGGGTGCCGCTGCTGCTCTCGCTCTCCCCCCCCCCCCCCCGGGGCTCCCCGTGCCCAGGCACCTGGGAGGGTGTCCACCTCTCGAGCAGGTGTTCTGGGGACAGAGGAAGGACAGCTGAAAGGCAGAAGCTGTGTAAACACACGCTCTGAGATACGTGGCAGGAACAAACCAGCCGTCTGGGCTCAGCAAAAGTGGGAAGTGGGACTCCGGAGCGTGAGGCCCTCTGACCTCAGCATCGCCCCGGAGCCGAGGGGGTGGGGCTGCCCTGGCCCGGCTGCTGGGCCTCTCGGTCCTGGGCCTGGAGGAGGAGGACGGGGAAGTGGAGGGCTGGCCGCACGGCCCCCCACGGTGGTCTGGCCGTCCCTGAGAGGAGACCTGCTCGGGCGGGGCAGTTAGCCACGGGAGCGGCGTCCTCGGACTCAGAAGCCAAGTCTGGGGTGCTCGTTCCTCTTTCGGAATTGGCCCGTCGTCCACAAGAGTTCTCAGAAAGACGGTCCTTTCGGAACCTCCGCTGCTCACAGGCCGCGGTGCTGCACGGTCCGTCCAGGGTTTCACCCACCACAGGAGGCGCGGCACCTCAGTGGGGACGGAACCGGGGCCTCCGCGGCTTGTGTGCCAGAGTGGGGCATGGTCGCCACCTGCTGTTGGGCTTTGTCATCACAAGAAGAGTGGAGAAGGAACCAGCAGGAGCGCCGACACTGCGGCTTAGGCAGCGGCCATCTGTTGGCTAAAGGCCCGGCAGGAGCCCCCGGCACCCGTTTTGAGTTGGGGGGTTGAGAGGTCGTCTCTTAGCGGGTAATCTGACACTCAAATAGCTCCTTTTGTCAGTGACAGAGTTGGGGACTCTTTGGGGGTTTGGGGATTTCTGAAAGGGGCAGAGGTGCTCCTTCCCAGCAGAGAGCCCAGGCGGCTCCGAGTTCTGGTCCGTGAGTGCTGGCTCTGGGGCCTGGTCCCCGGCCCTGAGCGCCACCGGCCCCGCTCCTTCCAGCTCAGCGTCTCAGAGCGACAGTCCCGGCTCCTGGCGCATCCTGTGGGAACGGAACGCCCACACCGGGGCCTGGTGCCTGCATGTGCAGCAGGTGAAGCCTTAACATTCGTCCCCGTGACAGGCCTGGTGCCAGAGACACCGCCCCGTCTGGAGTCACTCTGCAGGGCCGGTTTGCCGCAGCCGGGTTCGCTGGCAGGGCCAGGGCCGGGGGAGGCGGACTCGGGGCCTGAGACGGGGAGGGGAGGAGATGTGGGCTGCTTCTCGGGCAAAGGCCTGTCCTGACGGATGCTGCCGCCGCGTGGACCCGCCTTGTGCATGCTCTTCCTGCGGCGTCGCCAGGGAAGCCGCTGTCTGCAGCCTTGGGCCGGGAGGGAGGGAGGGAGGGAGGGAGGGAGGCGGCTGTGAGCCAGGCCCGGAGACAAGCCCGGAGGCGGGGCCGAGGGGAGCCCGGGAGGGCTCGGTAACCGGAGCGCGCTGCCCCCATTCGGCCGGGTTTTGTTACGTGTGCCTGCCTTTTGCACTGTCTTCTAAGGCCGTGGTCAGCAAACTGCGGCTCTTTGGCCCCTTGAGTGTGGCTCTTCCACAGAACACCATGGCCTGGGAGCGTCTGTTTTATAGAAGTGGCGTTAGAAGAAGCTTAAGTTTAAAAAGTTGGCTCTCAGAAGAAATGTCAGTCGTTGTCCTGTTGCTGTTCGGCTCTGCTGACAATGAGCTGCTCCGGTGTAAGGGAGCGGAGTGGGCGTAGGTGAGCGGGGACGTCCTGTCCTGAGAAGGCCGGCCTCCAGCTGGGGTGGGGCCAGCACAGCTGGGGTTAGGGGGCTGGTGCCCGTGCTTCCCTCTGCCGCGGCCTCGGCCTGGAGGGTGGGAGAGTTGGGGCAATAACAGACTGCTATGGAGCAAAAGCCGAAGGCTGCTCTTCAAAAAAATATTTTTATTGACAACAGAGAGGAAGGGAGCTGCGTCCCCAGACGGACGGGGCCATGGCCCAGCAGCGGCTCCGGGGACAGTGCTGACGAGCAGGTTTGTCCCGAAGGTGCACCCACACTGACCGGCCCGGGGGGCGGCAGGCCTGCCTCCGCACTGTCTCCCGGTTCCCGGAAACGGTCTGGCCCCTTTCTGCCTCACTGACCTGCACTGTTTCTCCATCAAGAAGGGTTTTTGTGTGGCTTGGCCAGCGTGGCTCAGGGGTTGAACGTTGACCTATGAACCAGGCCCGGTTGCAGGCTCCCTTCCTCTCTGACGTGAATAAAAATATTTTTTAAAGAGAGCCTCCAGATTTGCTGCACAGCGGCCGGAGCTAGTCCGGGACCTCTGCCCAGGCTCTGGAGTTCACTGGGCTCCGGCTCTGGATGGGTCATCGCGGAGGCACTCGGGCCAGAGGTCCGTGTGGGCGAGGCATCGGTGCAGACGGCCATGCTCGGCGCCTCTTTCTAGAGCCGCAGGAGCCGGGCCTTTTTACCCACCAGCCTGCTGCTCCCGGCTAATCTGTTCCGAGCCGTGCGCAGTGGATTAACTTCCATCGGCGGATTAGAATTGGGCCCACATTAAAGCGTCTTTTCCTCTTCCCTTCTGTCCCTTGTGGGGGTGGGAGGCAGGGGGGGCAGCCGCTTTGGGAGGGGGAAGGGGAGGGGGGTGCCCGTCCCGAGAGCACCCTGGGGAGGCCAGGGAGGTGAGCCGGCGCCATTCCCGCTGCAGGTCGGGGGCCAGCGGCTTCCCGTCTGGTGAGGGGACAGAGCTGGGCTTTATTTAGCTCCTAATCCCCGGGCAGCAGGGCCTGGGAGCCGGCGGGGCTGCGGGCGGAGGCCGGCCGCCCTCTCGGGTTCCGGGATTAATAATTGAGGCGTCCTCGGCAATAGGACACCGCGGGGCTCTGCCAGCCCCGGCTCGGCGGCGGCGGCTGGAGGTGAGCGGCCGGAGGTCCGTGCAGACCCCGCCGGCCCGTCCGCCCATGCCGGTGCCCAGCAGGCCCGTCGGGGTGGGGCGGTCGCAGAGCTGGGATGCCGCCGGCTGGGGCGAGAGCCCCTGGGAGGCGGCCGAGGCGGCGGGCCGGAGCGCGCTGACGGATGGGGGGCCCTG